TTTATTATATAAACATAGGTGTTATATAGAGTTTTTGGCCACTGAGAAAAATCGTATTTAAACACACGTAAAAAATACGATATTTTTACGTGTGAAAATATCATTTGTTGTAAAACGCATTGCCACAGACGTTTTATTGTTTTTCACTGAATTTTGTTTATATAATAAACAGAAAAATACATGGGTGCTTGGAAATACCAGATTTATTTCTCGTGTTGAACATGATATCTTACTCGTTCGCTGCGCTCACTCGTGAGATATCATGTTCAACACTCGAAATAAATCTGGTATTTCTGCGCACCAAGTATTATTCTCTATGTATGTAACTATATTCCATAAACTGCTATATAGTTCATGCCCCCAGATACAGTTGAAAATATACCGCTTATTAAACTGCAGCACCCGTGTAGCTATAACTGTGGCTATAAAGAGACTATTAGACATCCTGAGCGGGAATGGCGATGGCAGATCCCTAAAATAAGAAACACGCACAGAGCGGAATTTGAAACAAAATCCATGCAAACTATTAGGGAGAGAAGAAAATTCTTGGAATCCCTTATGGAATATACTGAAATTTCCATGAAAATCCCCCCTCCCCCCTCCCAGGATGTGTACTGCTCCACCCCTTAGCACCGGTCTCTTCACTGTTTAGTCCATTTCCAAGTCCTTAATAGACCTTTCCCCTTATGAGTGAAATTTTGATCTAGACAAGTCGGGACAAAAATGTCATCACAGCTTGAAAGAGCATCACAAAATTAGTAATATTCCGAAGTTTCGTTGCGAAATGTTGTAAAATGCGGATAATATAGCCTTGCGAAGTTTGCCGTTTTTCAGTCATTTTGCATTACAAACGGGAAATTGATAATCAGATGATCAAACCATTTGTAATACAAAATGACTGAAAAACGGCAAACTTCGCAAGGCTGTATTATCCGCATTTTACAACATTTCGCAACGAAACTTCAGAATATTACTAATTTTGTGATGCTCGATCTAAATCAAAATTTCACTCATAAGGGGAAAGGTCTATTCTATTACCTTCCACACAAGTTAAAGCTTGAATTGATTTCTTTCATGTTGTCAGGGTCTCCATTACTCTTTCCAAACTCACGACAAGCTGTATTTTGTTTTGGATTATGTCAATGGTGGCGAGGTGAGTATTCGCATGTCTCAAGACAGGTTTACACCATCCAAGTTTCTGTAATCACTGTCTGAATTTGTATGGGTAAACTCTACGTTTTGAAGGATTTGTAAGAAATGTTTGAGGCAACTGACTCGGCGTTTAAAACTGATTATTATATGGCAAGCGTCACTTCCTGTGAAATGGCGGTGTGTGATTGGCTGAGAAGCACTTTCAGAGGTCCATTATTTCCCCGTAATGGACCGGCGTAATGGACCGGCGATCCATTACGTAAAAACAAACGCGTGCATTTGAAAACAAAACAGCAAAACTAATTGAAAATTTGAAAATTATAATTTAATTTGTTATTAATAAGATATCTGCGAATGGTTTTTAGTGGAAAAGAAGGAATGCATTGGTATTTTTTGTTTTCTTCGACCAAATGTGTACCACGCTACTAATATGCATTTCAAATCATGCACTTCTTGTTTGTTTCGAGTATAAATGCCTATAAATGCCATATAATAAACATTTTATTAACCTCGCTTGCTCGGCCTTTACAGAGAAATATCGGACCTCGGTCTTTTTGTACAAACCTCGCCCTACGGGCTCGGTCTGTACAAAAAAGACCTCGGTCCGATATTTCTCTGTACAGACCTCGCGTTCGGTTAATAAGTTAGTAAGTTCCCTCAAACATTTCTTACAAATCCTTAAAAACTTAGAATTTACCTATCCAAAATTCCTAATGTGACCACAGAAACTTCGATAATGTTAACTAACCAGACTTCATCATGACGTCAGCTACATTCTCTCGTATTTCTTTAAACATTTTCGTTTGCCCTTTTCTAGTTGTTTTTCCATCTTCAACGAGAACGATATTTCCCTGAGTCAAGGTAGACTGTTCGTATTACATGTTCCTAATAAACTAATGCTTTAGAAAAACGTGCAATGGTACCATTCAAAAGATGATTGGATAGCTCAACCCATTGCTCACCGAACATTCTACATTATTTTCAGGGCAAAATTTTATGCTGCAGAAATTGCATCAGCTATCGGATATCTGCATTCGTTACAAATTATATACAGGTAAGATCATTTTGTTACATTTCTATTCTATAGCGTTAGACCAGGGACCAGGCGAAGCGCCACAACCACAGTTAACTCCCAGGAACTTGCCGCACAGTCCAGTTTGCCTGAAACACAGTCCAGTTTACTTTCATAAGATAAATGTAGCCTGCGAGCAGGTTCTCAAGGTGAAATGAGAGCCTGCACTGATGGCATACAATTTTGAATATCTGCGTCTCGAATTTGGACGCGAAATTCTCATTGGTCAGATGCTATAATTTATATGTTTCCGCTGAGCTCTATATATGTCAACTGCTGAACTATGCATAAAAAAACACTAACTGATCAAATTGGTCTTGGCCATCTTATCTCAAAGCACGAAATGTTCTATTTTGAGAAAACAGTATTTAAAACATTTAAACTTTTGCTTAAAGATCTTATATTTTGAAAAACAGTATAAACTGTACGGTCTAAATTTAGTTTGCACGAAAGTTGTCAACAACACCATATAAGGATAGACATTCCATATTTGGAAAAACGAACGTTACGGGGCAGATATTCAAAATTGTATATCATCAGTGCAGGCTCCCATTTCACCTTGAGAGCCTGCTCGCAGGCTAAGATAAATGCTCTGCTGACTTGGTATTCCTTACCCTAATCTTACCCTAATATGTATCTTTCCAAATCCTGCACTATTAGCTAATGTTATATTTCTCACTATAGAGATTTGAAACCAGAAAACATCCTCTTAGATCAAAAGGTAAAATGGTTAATTCTCTACCGTATGTACATACGATCCCATTGAGGGATGAACCCTTAGATATCCTGTTTGGGGTGAGGTCCTCATGGAATTCATGCAAAGGGAATGGAAAAAATCCTGCAACTACATGGAATATACAGAAATATAGAACAATTCCTGCACAGCTTCTAAACTGCGAGAAAAAATTCGACAAAGCTTCGAACTTAAAAAATTCTTGCAAAGAAAAGTTCCCCTCTCCCCTATCTAATGGCCCACCCCTAAGGTGTAGCCTCAAAAACTTGTCTTTGACCGCCTTGCTCAAAACAATTTCCACATTGAACTAGGGTCATGTTGTCCTGACTGATTTTGGTCTGTGCAAGGAAGGGATTGAAGACTACGGAACAACATCGACATTTTGTGGCACTCCAGAGGTATTGAAACATATTATGATAACCGACACACAACCGAAAATTTTTGGCTAATTTTTGCCAGCAAAAAGTGTTATAAAAAGATCAGTTCGGGTTTCATGAGATAGGGTCGCTCAGGAAACCGATAGCAAACAATGTTTTTTAGGCCCCATGACGAGAATGTGGCCTACAGTATTTATCATATATGTTTACCGTTAATAAAGTATCTAGCGCCTGAAGTATTGAAGAAACAAGAGTACGACAAATCTGTGGATTGGTGGTGTCTTGGAGCTGTGACGTATGAAATGATGTATGGCTTGGTGAGTGAGCAAGTGTTAAGCTTAGTTTACACTATCAAAGTTTCTGTGATCACAGTAGGAATCGTGTGATTCCAGCTAGTATGGACTAAAATTTGATCAAGGCAAGAAGAGCCTTGATCACAACTAGAAAGAGCGTCTTAGAATGAGTAGAACTGGAAAGATTGGTTGCTAAATGTTGTAAAATGAAGAAAATATAGCCCTGTGAAATTTTGTATATATTTGTATTACGCGCGGTAAAAATAACCACTTTCGGCTCAAAAATGGTTGTTTTTCCCGCGCGTAATGCAAATATATACAAACTTCGCGAGGCTTTGCATACTGATCATCTTTGTTTTGTTTTCAGCCACCTTTCTACAGCAGAGATACGGCGGAAATGTACGACAATATCTTGTATAAGCCACTGAGATTACGAACAAATATATCTCAAAGTGCGAGAAGCTTACTAGAAGGCGTAAGTGTACATGGCCTTGGTACTGCCATTTTGATTTATATATCAACAGGGGGGGGGGGGAGTATTTAATTTTACAAAATCTAAAACTTGGTGGAATCTGCAAAAATGTCAAGATGGGATTAGCCTCTTCCCAAATTGGCACAAAACTTTACGTTCCCCTGCCCAATTTCTGCATTCTGCAACAACATTCCTCAGTTATGTTTAGGCTAGCAGGAATCTTTCACAAATGACTTTAGTTAGAAGTTAATTTAAGATAATTTTCTGTCGTTTTTCAGTTGTTACAAAAAGACCGGGCGAAGCGACTAGGAGCACAAGAAGGAGATTTTGTAAGTATACATCAACCTTTCGTTTCACATTCTGATCGGCGAAAATATGATAAAAATATTAGTGCAGTACCCGGTGATCGTTTAGTGGCCTAGAAACAGTGCTTCCACTTTCAAAAATTGAACAAACCTTACAAACCTTATTTTTTCTTTATTTGGACTAAAATTTCCTTCAAAAATATTGAAACTTTGAAAAATCCTTCAAATTTTCTATTTTTCCTAAATTTCCTTCAAATTTTAAATTTCCTTCATAAAGCCAAAATTTCCTTTGAAAAGGAAATTTCCTTCAATATGGAAGCGCTGCCTAGAAATGTTTATTTGTACAGCAATACAATATCTGCCTGCGAGCCTTTCCATCATGCATTATTTTCCAAACCTGTTACCTATGCATGCCGCTGATATGTGCCGAAAATAAGAGCCTGCAGACGAGGCAGATATAGTATTATTTTTCTTATTCAAATGTCATTTTTAAAACAAAATTTTACTGCAACTCTGCTTTCTTATGATAAGACCCTTCTTCTTTTGTCTTTCAGGAGGAGATAAGGAATCACTCATTTTTCCGAACCATAGATTGGGAAGCTCTTTATAATCGACAAATAGATCCTCCATATAACCCTAATGTGGTAAGGATGTGATACATTATTATTCTCCTATCCAAGTTGGCGTTAGCGATTTTTCATCTTCATATGTGGCAGAAATGGACCTCAGAATTGAAATGTTTATGCTCTAATTAATCTACTGGGTGTCCCAAAAAAACTGGACTCTATCTATCGCAAAGCTATCGCAATGAAATAAAGGTCATTGCATTCAGAGAGGACAAACTTAGATTTTGATTTATAACACTTGAATTTACATACAACATTGAGCGAGATACAACCAAAATAAGAATGTTTATTATTTAACAAGTATAACTACATCGGTAATTATAAGGTTGTTTTATGCTAATTTTTGGCATCTTCAAAAACAGTAGTTCAACGTTCAAACATCAATAGCGCAGTCAATATTGCATGTAAATTCAAGTGCTGCATTATATCAAAATGATTTAATGATTTAATGAGATTCGGCTAATATAACGCCAGGGAGTTCGCCACAGGTTTCCCCAATTACGGCGACCCCATAATTAACTTTACGTTTACAATAATTTTAACAGTCGAAACGAACTAATTTAAGACAAAATACAATCGGTGCAAGAGACAACTAACAACAACTTAAAACACCATCAAGGGACCTAGCCATTTTACATTTAACGCACACAGATTTCCAAGTTCGCGGATCGTCATAGTTATAAATATTAGATAGCGCGTATTTGTAGTACGTCTTTAGTCCAGATTTGAAAGCTTGCAGGCCAATATCTCTATTACGGAGGTCACTATTTAAAACGTTCCACGTTTTACACGCTCTAATAAGATATGAAGACTGGTATGTTACAGTTTTAGCAAAGGGTATTACAAATCTAATCACGTTTTCGTTGGTTTCACGTCTGGTTATTCCTGATTCAGCTATTATTGGGCGCTTTCCATTTAATGGCCTGACCGGTCAGACCCGAATTTTTATCTCTGTATCAATGGACAGATCTGGTCTATGTTTCTCAAATATCTAGCGAAAATGGACCTCATTCTAATTTTATCGAAATTTTCCGGTCAGATAGGTCCGAAGCCCAAATGTTTTGTGTTTCATTCAACAATTTGACCGTTCTGACCAGTCTTGCTGTGTTAATGGAAAGCGCCCTAAGTTAGTCCTTTCTGAATGCAATGATCTTTATTTCATTGCTATAGTTTTTACGTTGCATGAAATCAAACAGTGTACAATTTTGCGTTCTCTTTTTTTTTGGGGGGGGGGACACCCAGTATACCGAAATTTCTTAAAGTGAAAATATTTCACTGTAGCGGTAGTTCCAGTCAAATGTATGCGGGGGAAAACAAACTTTTCAAAACATAACTCGCGCCGTAAATTAATTTGAGCACGAGGATTTCAATTCAGAGGTCCATTTTTGACAAAGATCTGTCGAATAGTGAGACCTGTCTGTTTCATTGTATTGCTAACGTTGTCGATCAATTGTGTATGTTCTTTCTTCACAGAGTGGACATATGGACCTGAAGCATTTCGATCCTGAATTTGTACGAGAACCTGTACCGCGTAAGTTACCTAGCATATTTGTAACTGCCACACAACTCGTCAAAACTCTAGCATGCCAACTCGTCGACTCGGGCAAAACCAAGATTAGGACCCTGTGTGGGTTCACCAGATTTTGGTCACTCAGGGTAAGGTTAGAGTCTGAACCACTAATTAGTGGTTCCTGCCAAGTTTGAACGGGGCTTGAGCCAGTGGCGTAGCGCTCATTGGGTAGGGTTAGTTCAAAAACTAAGGGGCCCCGACAGTCAGGGGGCCAACAGCCACGGCCTATCGCGCAGAAAATTAGAAAACGTAAACAATACAGGTTAAGAATCATTGAGAGAATGCAAAATTAATAATGCTAAATAACAAAGCCTCCATCGACAACGGTAGCTGATTTTTTATTCCATCTCAAATAAAACAAAAGTTATTCTTATTAGTTGTTACATACACAGAATTTTCCAGAACATTCTATAAAATATTCAATATAAATATAATATCTCAGTCAAACAATGAAAACAGGGCCCCCCACACCAAATATGCCTAAAGGGCCCCCTCTTCCCCCGTTATGCCATTGGCTTGAGTCACAAAAACGTCTTTGTATCTTTCAGAATCCGTTGGTAAATCTCAAAATTCGAATATTTGCTGCAGTGTCGGCGATCCGGACGACGCTTTCTTGGGCTTCACGTATGTGCCACCCTCCGAGGATCTGGTGGAATAATTGTACTCATAGGATCTCACTTCACCGGCGGTGAGATCCTAAATTAACACTATGTGCTCCGCCTGATCCCATTACGGATCCTGCATATCCTTTAATCATTCAGTATTTTGATTCGCGTGATACGGTCATCTAAAATTGCGGGCGCATTAGTGAGGTGCGTGCAGGCTACAGCCCGAACATTTTGCCCGCAAGGAGCTGGTCATTGTAATTGGTGTGTTTCAATAAGCGTTATGGCGTGGTAGATGGTGGGCAACTTAAAATGTAAACACTTCTGCAACAAGCGCGTTAAACTTTATCTTGTCATTCTATTTATTGGTCAATAAATATCAGCAAATAACGGTCAACATTCCCTCGATTAACGGTTCGACATCGGACATTTTCCTACCAAAACAATTTTTCCGTCCAAATGTTAAATTGCTCGGACATTGTATCCGGACAAAAAATAGCAATCCGTTTTCTTGACAGTTTCTAGGAAAAAACCATTTTCGAACGTAATTTCAGGCCATTGTCTGTCAAGATATGATGGTCTGGAAAACTCGTTGTATTATGTTTTTGTCTGAGTTCATGTTCATTTGTACACGTTCACGATGATTGAGCTCATTGTATTTTCGTATCATGAAATATTCGTCCAATAGGGGGATAGCTCAGGCCTGTTTTATACGTCGAATTTCGGTCGCGTCGAATGCAATTTAAACAATAGATAATGAAGCTTGCTGAGGTTTATCATCTCATCTATTGTTTGAATTGCATTCGACGCGACCAAAATTCGACGTATAAAACAGGCCTGAGATGAAACGTGCAACCACGATTAATAATATTTAATGAAGTTGAGACAAGGGTTTGTGTATGTTTATATAGGTACTACAGTTCAACATCGAACAAACGCCTCCAGACCATCATATACACCCTGTTCATAAATGGCTGCCGATTAAAAATTCTTTTATGTGCATATAAATTGGCCCAACTAGCCTCGTTTCTGTGTAGAAATTCCTTTGAAATCTTAACATGAGTACGAGGCTAGTTGGGCCAATTTATATGCACATAAAAGAATTTTTAATCGGCAGCCATTTATGAAAAGGGTGTATGTTCAGGCTGAAGTCGACTTAATAATGTTCACACTGGTAGCGGCAAACAAAGCCTACCTTTCAGTAACAAGCTCCAATCACCCAACATATGACCATCTTTTTATCTTGAAATTTCAGTTCCTTAAATTGTTTGCCTTAAATTTCATGCAATATGTGTGTCGGGTCTTCCCCAAAAAACTGGACGCTCTTTGATTTCATGTAACGTAAAAGCTATCGCAATGAAATTAAGATCATTGCATTCAGAAAGGATTTTTTAACGGAGCGCCAGCGTAGCGTGTTAGTGTATAGGCCGTTTTCCACTTCAAGCGTATCGTACCGTAACGTAGCGAAAACGTTTTTAAATTTCAAAATTTCGTGAATGTTGATTGGTTAGTACTTCCGTAGTACGCCAAAAAGTTGACTTGCGACGAACTTTTTATTTTGATACGCGAATACACCCGGAAGTACGTGAATTTATAAACCTCTTTTCAATCTGCGCATGCTCACCGATACGTTACGGTACGATAAGGGCGAAGTGTCCAGTTTTTTTTTGGGACAGCATGCTTTCGTGGTTGAAAAATTTAGTTACTGCTTTGGAAACAGTTATTCAGCTATCATTCGAAGGCTTTCAGAAATTATCTGGGGTGAGGGGCGGTTACTACCCCCCCTCCCTCCCCCTAGTGTCTACCATTTGCTGTGCGATAGTGCTTATTGGAACCCACCTATTCTCCTAATTGACGAATTCTGCCATTTTCGACAGCGAATGATTTCAACTTATCACGCACGGATTTTGTGCAAAATTTTAACGTCGAGATGCAATTTCATAATATACGAGTGTTTATGTACAGAGTGATTTGTGCTCGCTATTTAAAATAATTTGCAAAGTGGTCGTGAGAAAGTTGGTGCGACTGCGGTTTATTTGTTCACCTTAATATTAATAAAGTTCTTAATAATGTATGAAATAACATATAGAGTGGGCTTTTAGTTTTAAAGGCTTCAAATCCCAGGCAGACAATGTCAGCAGTCTCTTCCCCCCCCCCCCCCCCCCCCCCCC